ATCTTTTTTGTAGATGGACACAACACAATGCCTTTATTTTTATGTGGTGCTGAGGATCGAACCCGGGTCCCACCCATGCTAAGCGAGCGCTCGAGCCCTCTACCACTGAGCCATAATCCCAGCCCCATGAAATGGTTTCTTAAGGAAACCCAGGAGACATAGAGAACAGAAGAGAAAAAGGCTAGGAGACAAACAGGGAGAGGCTGGCTGGAGCCAATGAGACACCCAGACCAGATCCACATCTCCAAGACTCCAGTGGATTACTCCCCACCAATGGCCTTCTCTCACACTCCTCTTCCACCCTCCCAGTCCCTTACGACTCAGTCTACAAGTCTGCTGTGCACCAGGCAAGCACCGTGCTCACACTCAGCATGCAATCACCAACAGGAGATACTGTGTTTACCTGTATGGAGCTAATGGTCTCAGCAGAAGAGTGACCATTGTGCTGACTCCCAAGGCAGTGCCAAGGGACGGGCAGTGCCAGGGGAAGGGCAGGACTGGGGAGAGGCACATTTTAGAACTATTCAGTTGAAGTGCCATTGCTCTGGAAGGGGTAACATGGAAATGTCTATTGTTGATTTTAAATGTTCACACCCTCTGACTCAGCAATTCCACTCTAGGGGATTTCTCTGAAAAAAAAAAAAAAACAACTTCTAGAAGGACACAAAGATATATATGTTTAAAGATGTTCATTGCTGCAATATTTATACCAATGAAGACTGAAAAGAGCCCAAAGGTCTATCAAAAGTGGACTGATCTGGCAGGGCAGAGTGGTGCCTACCTGTAACCTCAATAACTCCAGAGGTGGAGGCAGGAGGATTGAAGTTAGACACCAGCCGGGGCAACTTAGCAAGACCCTTTCTCAAAATAAAAAATAAAGCTGGGCGTGGTGTCGTAAGCCTGTAATCCCAGTGCCTCGGGAGGCTAAGGGCAGGAGGATCATGAGTTCAAAGCCAGCCTCAGCCACTTAGCGAGGCCCTAAGAAACTCAGTGAAACCCCGGCTCTTAAATAAAATATTAAAAAGGGCTGGGGATGTGACTCAGTGGTTAAGTGCCTGTAGGTTCAAACCCCCTACTAAAAATAAATAAAGAATAAAAAAGGGCTGGGGATGTAGATCAGTAGTAGAGCACTTGCTTAGCATAAGACCCCAGCACTACAAAAGGAAAAAAGAAAAGGGGTGGGGGCTGGTTAAATAAATTACATCCATAGAACGAAATACTGCATACATTCAGGAAGAGGAATAAGGTTGATCTTTAATTACTAGTATACAAGATGTCTTAGTCTCATTAACTAAAACAACATGAGCAAACTTCATAACTACCAATAGCATGATCTCGTTCATATATATGTATATATACGCATACGATAATGCATGGAAAAAAAATGAGAAACTTACAACTAACTCTTGGCAGTTCTCTGTGTAGGATGCAAGTTAAAGAGACTTTCGCTTTCAACATTATGTATTCTGTTGTTAGACTTTTTAGTGATGCAATCAGGGAAAATAAAGAAGCTATAAAAAGAAATGTGGGGGATGGGGGTTTTGCTCAGCGGCAGAGCACATGCTTAGCATGCGCAAGGCCCTGGGTTCCATCCCCTGGCACCACAAAAAGAAGAAGTCTGTTAAATACTATGACTGGGAATTTAAAGTAAGCTCAGGGTACAAAGGAGGTCCATCTGAGGCAGCAAAGAAGTCACTGGAGGCTCCCTGGAGGAGACATTAAAACTCAGACGGAAAAAAAAAAAATGAGCAGGGGTTAGCCATGCCAGTCGGGGCTGGGAGACAGACAGGAAGGAGAATGTGAGGCCCAGTGAAATAAGCTCCATCTGGCTGGAGGACAGGGAGTGTTCACAGGCTCATTCACACAGTATTGACTGAGTACCTACTATGTTCTAAGCCCTGAGAACTACAAGGAGCAAAAGTTTTGTTACAAAACGGACAAACCCCTCATGGAGTTGACATTCCAGTAGGGGACTGGTCACTACGAGGTTGCAGAGGTACAGGCAGGGGTCACGTGGTCAGATCAGTCAGGGTCTGGATTTCACCTGTCAGACAAAGGGAAGGCATGGGAGGGTTTTTAGCAGGGAGTGACATGACCATTGTTTAATGCCTCCCTCTGGCTGACATCAGATTTCTCTTTCTAAAACACTGTTCACTCTGTGCCCAGCAGGAAGCCACTAAATCAGCCCAAACAAGGGCAGCAGGGCCTGGCTGATGACTCAGCCCGTCACACTCCAGAAAAGAACCTCTGGAAGGGCCAGGCACATTCCCACCTCCGGGCTCCACTAGTTGCAGTTCTCTTGGCCTGAAGCACTTTCTCCTTCCTCCTGGCCTGTCCCTGGCTCTCCCCGGCTTTCTTGGCAGAAGCTCAAGCCCCACTCCAAACTTTTGGAGTTCAGTAGATCTTGGGTCAATGAGAACTGCCCCCAGAGGCCAGTGCCAGGCAGGGAGAGAGTCACTACAGCTGCAGATAGCACCAGAGTCACTATCCTCCTAACCTTGTTCCCTCCTCTGCCTTCCCTTTCTCTGTTATAGAACACTGTGTGAGTATAATCTCAGCAACTCAGGAGGCTGAGGCAGGAGGATCACAAGTTTGAGGCCAGCCTCAACAAGTTGGCAAGACCCTAAGCAATTTAATGAGACCCTGTTTCAAAATAAAAAATAAAAAAGGGCTGGGGATGTGACTCAGAGGTAAAGCAACCCTAGTACAAAAACAAACAAACAAACAAACAAACAAACAAAAAAACCAGAAACCAAACCAAAACAAACCCCCTGCCAGATCTGTAACCCTGGGCAAGACATCCTTATGGGTTACGTGGGGATAATCATAGCACCAATCCTAGGATCCTGTAGGGTCTGGTGCACACGGGGTGATGCTGGGAGTGTGGTAAGCCCTCAGCTAGCTCCAGCTGTTCCCCCTCTTCTTTGGAAAGTGCTGTTTGTTGAAGAAATACAGAAGAGGGGGTCCTAGCCCACTCACAGACTCACCTCTTAAGTGTTCCAATGAACCCAGTGTCCCCCCACACCCCCAACCAGACCATTCTCCTTTCCCCAAACCTCCAGTGGTGGTCCCACATTCCAGAAGGTACACAGCTCCCTTACCTAGCATATTCTTCCAGACCAGTCCCCCAGCAGAGCATAACCCACTCTCAAGGCTACCTTCTGCAAGGTCCTCTCCCTCCCTTTGGGTATTTATATCTCTCAAGGCTGTTGCTCAGAGGACCTGGAAATAAAGGGATTTGGGGCTAGGGGGTGTAGTTCAGTGGTAGAGCATGGGCTTAGCATATGCACAGACCTGAGTTCAATACCCAGCACTTAAAAAAAAGAAAGAACAAAAGGAAAAATAAAAAGGGTTTAACAAAAAAATATAGGAGTTTGTTGTTGTTGTTGTTTTTGTATGTGTGAATCCCTTGATCATATTAAGTCCCCACAGCACCCGAAAGAGTATCTTGTAAAAAGTGGGTGCTGGAGCCAGTACACACCTCTATTCCCAGTAACTCAGGAGGCTGAGGCACAGGGATGGCAAGTTCAAGGACAATCTCAGCAACTTATTGAGGTCCTGTCTCAAAAAAAATAATAATAAAATTAAATTAAAGGCTGGTGAGATGTAGCTCAGTGGTAAAGTGCCCCTGGGTGCAAGCTCCAATACTGCCACCTCAAAAAGGTGGGTGCTCAGAAACTCTTAGTGAGTGGAAACAATACCAGGAGGCTTACAGGGCAAGGCGAGGGGTTGCCCACGAAGCTAAATCAAGGGGCTCAGGTTAGATGATGGCTCTCATGGAACAGTCATATAAAGGGGGATCCTAGGGCTAAAGGGAACTCAAAAGACATGGCATGGTGACAGCGCACTTTTGTAATCCCAGCAACTTGGGAGGCTGAATCAGGAGGATTGCAACTTTGAGCCCAGCCTCAGCAACTTAGTGGGACCTTGTCTCAGAATAAAAAATAAAAAAGGGCTGGGGATGTGGCTCAGTGGTTAAGCACCCCTGGGTTCAATCCCTGGTACCAAAAACATAAAATAAAAGGAGCTAGGGTTGTGGCTCAGTGGTAGAGCACTCGCTTAGCATGTGTGAGGTACTAGGTTGGATCCACAGGACCACATAAAAAATAAATAAATAAAGGTATTGTATCCATCTACTACTAAAAAATAAAATAAAATAATAAAAATCCACTAACAATGAAGGAATCTCCTCTCTACCTTCAGTCCCCAGCCTCTGCTTGAATCCTTCCAAAGAAAGGAAGCTCATTTCTTATCCTGTTGCTGGACAGTTCCAGCAGCTGAAACTTTTGTTGGTGGTGTTCATGTACTCAGCTCTTGCCTTCCAGTAACTCTGTTCTCATCCTGTCCTCCAGGACAACCCAAGATACTCTTTTAATTGGGTAGTGTCCGCCTCATTCAAATGCCAGTATGGAGGGGCATGCAGTCAGCAGTCTCCCCATCCCACCTCCAGCCACTTGCTGACACACACTCCTGCTAGGCTGGGGGCGGGGAGTGGCCCTGGGATCCTATATCACATAACTGGGTTCACAGGTACCATTTACCCAACCTGAACACTTGGATCTATCTTCCCTAGTGGCCCCTCACCTTGCCCCGTGAGTCCTGTGGGGCCATTTCCAGTCACTTAAGTCTTTTCTCAGAACCATCTTTTTCCATTTAGTAAATGCCAAATGTCCTGGGCCAGCAGTGGGGGTAGGAATGGTGGGGAGCCCCTGCCCTGAACAGCTGTTCTAGACACTTGTCTTTCTAACCTCCTTTTAGAGCCACAGTTCTGAGTCAGTGGTGATTTTGAACCTCCTAGAGGAATTTGGCAATGTCTGGATACCTTCTTCTTCTTCTTCCGATTTTTGTTTGTTTATTTGTTTGTTTGTTTTGTTCTGGGAGTGAACCCAGGGGTTGCTCTACCACTGAGCTACATTCCCACTCATTTTGAACTTTTAAATCTTATTTATTTATTTATGGACTAGGGATTGAACTCAGGGGTATTCTACCATTGAGCTGCATCTCCAGTCCATTTTTTTTTTCTTTTTTGGTACTGGGGATTGAACCCAGGAGTGCTTAACCACTGAGCCACAACCCCAGCCCTTTTTTATATTTTATTTAGACATAGGGTCTCAGTGAGGTTTCTTACAGCCTTGCTAAGTGGCTGAGGCTGGCTTTGAACTCAGGATCCTTCTGCTTCAGCCTCACAAGCTGCTGGGATTACTGGTATGTGTTACCCAGTTTTCATTTTTATTTTTAGACAGGGTCTCACTAAATCGTTGAAGCTGGCCTCAAAGTTGCAATCCTACTGTCTCAGCCTCCCTCCCAAGTCAGTGGAATTAGAGGTGTGTACCACTGTGATTGGCCCTGGATACATTTTTGAATATCACAACTTAACTTGAGGATGCTACTGGCATTGAATGGGGAGAGGTCAGGGACGTCACAGCCTACAATGTGCAGGCCGACCCCTCATAACAAAGGATTGTCTGGCCCTTTCCAGATTATAACCCCTGCTTGAGATGCACTTCAGAACCAGAAGCTGGGCTGGCTCTGAGGAAGGAGTCGGGTGAACATTTACAGGGCCAAACTCAGTGAGCGGAGCCCCTCGTTCTCTATTTCCTGGCTCTGCCTTTCCTCCTCGGGCACAGATACTGAGAGGGGGAGAGAGAGAGGGCACATGCTGTTGAAGTGGGAAATGGCTCAGATCAAGTCTAAACCCTTGTTAAGGTCTGGATCTGAGGTGTCTCCCAAAAGTTCAGGTGAAATAATGTAAGAGCTTAACCAAATCAGTGCAAAAATCCACTTGAATGGATTAACTGAGTGGTAACTATAGGCAGGTAAGGTGTGGCTGGAGGAGGGGTGTCCCTAGGGGGTGTGCCTTTAGGGTATATATTTTGTCTCTGGTGAGCAGAGCTCTCTGGCTTCCTGATTGTAATGTCCTGAGCTCTATTTCCTCCTTCATACTTTCTTTCTTTCTTTTCTATTCTTTTTTTTTTCTTTTTTGGCACCAGGATTGAATCCAGGGGCGCTTAACCACTGAGCCACATCCCCAGCTCTTTCTATATTTTATTTAGAGACAGTGTCTCGCCAAATTGCTAAGGCCCCGCTAATTTGCTGAGACTGGCTCTGAACTCCCGATCCTCCTGCCTCAGCCTCCAGAGCAGCTGGGATCACAGGGGTGTTCTACCGCGCCGGCCTCCTTCATGCTCTTCTGCCTTGATAATCTGCCTCATCTTGGGACCAGAGCAATGGAGTCAGCTATGGACTGGGACATCTGGAACTGTAAGCGCCAAATAAACTTTTCCTTCTCTAAAATGTTCTTGTCAGGTCTTTTGGTCACAGAGGCAGGAAAAAAAAAAAAAAAAAGCTGACTACAACAACCCCCTTCCCAGACACTGGGCTTTTTCCTTGGTGTCTCTCTCTTTCCCTTGAGTTCCCCAGGGTGACACTCCGCAAAAGGGCTTTCGCCCAGCAAGAATACTGCGGAGAGCTGAGCCACCCTTGATGGGGCCAGAACAGGACAGGGAAGGACCAAGGGTAGCCAGAGCTAGAAGCCCATGAGAGAGCTGGGGTTCACATCCCGGGTGGGGTTCAAACTCAGTTAGCTCCCCAGTAGGTATTTAATTCCACTGACAGTTGAGGGGACTGAATGAATCTCAATGAGCCGCCAAAAGTCACATGGCCCGACAGAGGTAGGACAAGGGCGCTTGGGCTCACGTTCTGGAGAAGACCCAGAGCGGGGTGGTTACCAGTACCCCAACCCTGATGAGGTGTGTGGCCTCCCTGCGCCCTAGTTTCCACGTGTGTAAAAGGAGCGAGAATGGTGCCCACCTCACAAGCTGGTGCTGAGGACCAGATGAGCTCATAGTTACAAAGCCCGACAGCAGTGCCTGGCAATGAGAAAGTGCCGTGGAAATATTTGCAGTTTTTCTCTTCTTTCTGCCACACAGGCCAGAGGGTGAGGGCTCCCTGTGTCCCTCCAGATGGAGGCTAATGGCCCATCACCATGCTGGGCAGGAGGTCAACAAGAACATGTTCCACGTGAAAGAAAAACACTCTGCCCTTGTTAGCACTGACGACGACGGGTGGAGAAGCCAGGTCACAATGACAGAAAATAGTCTCTGGGGTAAGAGCTTGCTGATTCCCTGTCGCCCTTGTGCATCTGGGTGGTCCAGCTTCTGCCCCCAGGTGTCTCACCTCTGGGTGGCTGAACACCCCAGGCTTTCAGGACATTTGTTTCAGGGAGCAATTCAACACCACGTTGTCGTGATTATTTGGGTCCATCACATTCTGTCTCTCTCCCTGTCTCTCCAAAGACTTCAGGATCTCAAGGGCAGAGAACGCATCTTGTTGGACCCGTCCTCTTATCTACGGTGCCTGGATAAATGGAGTAAACGCTGCTTTCTTAAGTAGCCTGATTGGCTGATATGAAATACATTAATGAACTAGGACCCCAGCACACTAGCAGGGAAGGGTCCAGACAGGATGCGAGAGCCACCAGGATCAGCTGGGCAGCCAGGTGGGTCCATCAGGGGAGACACCCTGGAGGGGTGATCAAGGCAGAGCCAGGTGGAAAAAGCAGTGAGGGGTGGCCTGGAGAGGACAGGGAGAGCGATCTAGGAAGGAGACCGAGGATCAAAACTCCAGCGTGTTATCTGCCTACTTCCGACTTAGTTCCTTCCCACCCTGCCCTTGAATTTGTTCATGGATAAAACAGTGGAACTCCCCGAGAGGCTGAAGGTGTTGGGTAGCAATGAAGCCCACGGGGCCCCTCGCAGAGCACCTGGCATGTGGGAGCCAGTTAGTAACCTCTTCTTTATAGTAGGGGAGAAATGGGGCACAAGGTTACCCAGTCAAGGAGGCAGGCAAGCTGAGAGCGTGTCTGCCTCCACCGTGGCCATCCCTTAGCCACCTCACCAGGCCTGGGACAGAACATGAAGGCAGGAGAGTGGGGTGCAAGCTCAGAAGCTGCTGCTCTCCATCTGGCTCCCCCATTCACTTGGAAACAACCTGTTTGCTTTGCAACTCCAACCCCTAAGCCCTCAGTAGGGGACTGGGGAAGTAGGGAGAAGGCAGTGATTCTTCCCAGCTTTGTTCCAAGACTGCCCTTACCCTCCCTTCCTCCTCCTTGGTCACCTAGAACTACTTGGTTCAATGCCAGACACCATTTAAGAACCCCTAAATGCCTGAGCTGTTGATGGGGCCCACAGAGATGATCAGGGATTGGGGCTACCAATCTCATAATAGCCGATGCATCCCACAAGTAAATATGTACACCCCCCAGACAGTAAAGAGGCCAGCAGTGAGTTATAAAAACTTCACAGGGAAGGGGCGGGCATCTGAGCAGGACCTGGCAGCACCATTCCGACGGCAGCACCACAAGGACCCAAGCTTAAGTAAAGCTCTAGCTCCCTGGCTGTGTGGTCTCAGGCAACGATGTCTCCTCTCTGAGACTCAGTTTCCTCCACCGTAAAATGGAGATAAAGCTCCTACGTCATTGGGCCATCATAGACCTTAAACGAGACAACAAGCTCTGCAGCTGTGATGTTGATGAGGAAGAGATGGGAGAAGAGGAGAAGGATAACAGTGATGGTGTCAACTCACCTCCATCCTTATCTGTGGCGTCTCCTGCCAGCTGGAGTCTGAACCATGAACAGACTTTACAATTTACAAAGCATTCTGCTAACACCATCTCATGGAAAACTTGTGACTGCTGTCTGAGGTCAGGAGGGAGGAAATGCTCAGGATCTTCACAGATGGAGCTCAGAGAGGGCGAAGAACCTTCCTAAGGTCACAAAGCTACAAAGTGGTAGAGGAGGGATAGAACCTAGGTCTTCTCTTTGCCTGTGGTCCCATTTTTTTATACCTCCCTAGAGGGGAGAAAGGAGTTTATGGCCTATGGGGAGCAAGATTGTGGTCCTGGCTGAGGAACCTAAGCCCCTCACTTGTCAGCTGAACTACAGTCCGCACTGGTCCTTCCCAATATGCAACGTGGCAATCCCAGTTAAACTGAACCATTGGTGGTCTATGACCTTGGCCCTGTGCCAACGTGCTCTGCTCAGCCTAGACCTGGGGAATATCTGAAGGGCTGGGTTTCAGGGTTCATCCCATACCTCTGTGGGCTCAAACTAAGATGAGAGCAGCAGAGTAAGGCATGTTGGGAAGTGAGAATCCTTATCTGTCAACACCAGAGGTTTTGTTTCATCTGGGGCTACCACATGTGGCAGGAGTGACCCGATCCCAGAAAGGAGGTGGGCCGCAAAAGCAGATTTCTTGTTCAGCATGTGCTTACTAGATGGGGTCCTTGCAATGCTCCTGATTCCCCACATCTCTAAAAGCCGATAAGAAAAGCCTCACAGACCTCAGTCACCAAGGACTGAGCATCATAATGAGCCAGGCCTAACGCCCTGGGCCATCCTCTCAACAGCCCAGTCAGTGCTATTTAGAGATGAAGAAACTGAGGCTGAGTGGTATTACGACACTGGCGCAATGTCTCACAGCTAGAGAGATTTTCGTCTTTCTAAAACTTAAGTTCTTTCCATTCTTTGGGCTGCTGAGAGTAAGACTGTGATTGCTGAATTTATGTGTCAACTTGAATGAACCACAGGGTGCCCAGATATACGTCTTAACAAAATTCTGAGTATGTCTGTGATGGTATTTCTAGATGAGATTAATATTTAAAACTGCAGACTGGGTAAAGCCAATTACCCTCATCAGTGGGGGTGGACCTCATACAATCCACTGAAAACCCAAGTAGAACAAAAAGCTGAATAAGAGGAAACTCTTCCTACTCGACTGCTAGAGCTAGGGCACTAGTCTTTTCTGGCCATTGGACCTGGATTGAAACATCAGCTGTTCTTGGACGTCAAGTCCACTGGCTTTCAGACTGGAATTTCTGCCGTTGGCTCTCCAGGTTCTTATGCCTCTGGACTCGGATCAGAACTACACATTAACTCTCCTGGGTCTCAAGCAATCCTCTGTAGAGACTGGGATTTCTCAGTCTCCATAATCACACGAGTCAATTCCTTCTAGTAAATCTCTTCATATATATTTATGTGTACACACACACACACACACACACAGTTTCTATTTCAGTTTCTATTACAGTTTCTATTTCTCTGAGGTACCCTAACACAAAGACCAATCCTTTAGTTTCCAGGAGAGAGCTGGCTGCTATTCGGGTGTAGAAGGCTCAGCTGCCAGCCTCTGCCAGAGGCCAGATATCTGAATATCTGATCTGGCTCTAAGTCCCCACTGTTCTCAAGTTCCCAACAGGAAAACTGACCAAATGAGATCAGCCAGGTTGCAGAAACCTTGACTCTCTTTTCTTTTTTTTTTTTTTAAACCAAAACATCCCCAAGTACTCAGGAAGAGATACTGGCACCCTCCAGACACCCCAACATGAACAGCAATACTTTCAGTGTCCACTAGGTGGGGCGAGCGATACAGTGGAAAGGGCAGAAACACAGGGGCTGGAATTTTCCCTGCCGTTCCCAAGTTGGATAAATTGCTCCCTACTCCTATTTGTAGAGGCTTCTAGTCAAAGATGTCAAAATCAATATGAGAGGCCCCATGCACTTCAGTGGATTGTCACTCTGTAGCAACTCTACATTTCAAAGTTCTCAAATTAGGTTATCCTCTTATGAGCCACCAAGCAAAACGGAGAGCCACAGGGAGCCACAAAGTAAAGTTACGGTCCCAAGCCTCAGAGTACCTGGCAGGGGCATCTCCCCATGTAGGATGTGAGCTGTTTTACTAGAGAAAGTGCCAGACAGTACTTTTCACCAGGGAATCTAACATAGGACTGCCTGGGTGGGATGAACACCAGGAAGGAACGGGACACAAGAGACAGAGAGGAAGGCAGAAAGGGTATGGCAAGGACCTGGCCCTGGGCTCAGGTGCTACAGGGCATCTCCCTGCAACTGTTCACAGCTGTGGCTCTGCCTGGGCATCTCTGAGCCCTGCAGGCACCTGAGACTAGAAGGCAGAGATGGGATACAAGAGTTCTCCCTTGCCTTCCCTTTGGTTGGGGTCCAGGTCCCAGAATTCCTTCTTCTCCATGGGGTACAAAATCCTGTCCCTGCCTGTCCAAGATGGCTATCTCTAACCCATCATCTTTTCTTAGGAATAACGGAGGAACGACACCCCAGAACACTAGCTGGGGGGAGCATGAAGCTGACCAACACCCTTGCCCACCCCCTCCGCCTCCCACCTGCACCCCACCATCCCTTCCCAAACTTGTACTGCCTGGCAGCCGCTGAGCTCTGCCTCGGCCTCTGTTGCCATGGCAACCGTGTGGCTTCCCCCAAGTGGGAAGCTGGTTGCCAAGGCCCTTGTTGCCAAAGGCTATAACAGCCACCCCAGTGTGTGAAGAGGGAGTGAGAGCCTGTGCAGGGGGTTCTCCAGAATGGTAGAGTCCAGGCAGCCTCCAGCTGGAGTGGGGGTGCTAGGCCCCAGAGAAGAGAAACGCATCACACCGTGTCTCTCAGCGTTGCTCTTCTGGGGGCTTCAGAGAAAAGAAAAAGAACTCCCACAAAACATAGCTGGACAAGCCTGAATCCAGCAGGACCAGGCACTCCTACAGCTCACCCCAAACACACACATGCCACCAAGAGAAACAGCTTTGATTCTTCTCCCAAACTCCAGAAAAAGAGCCCTGAGGAATCTCTGTCTTGCTGGCTCCTGTGTCTCAGAGGCACACACGCAAGCAGGGCCCAGAGTCTATCCCAGCAACAGCATGAATGACAACTATGTGTCCCTTCACACATTTCTACCCCCTGCCCTGTCTTGGAGGACAGGCTTAATACTCCTTATAAAACGCTTCTCTTGGGAGCAGAACTCCTGCCTCTGTTGACAAGAGGAGAGGTGGTCATCCACCAGGGTTTGGCCCTTCCTGAGTGAAGAGCACAGGGCTGGAGGGGCTTCCAGTCAGGCCAGACCACAGAAGCAGCTCTTTCCACCCTGCAGGGAGCACAAGGCCAGCCTTGGCTTGACTGAGGCAGCCCCTGGACATCCACGACCCACAGGCCATCTATGCAGCCACTGTCCATCCTGGGTGCAGACAGAAGGGTCTGGTCCTTCCTGGAGCCTCCTCCCCACCCTGTTAAGCAGAGAGACTACCAGGGAAAGACAGGAAGGAGGACCGGGTGTCTGGGAAGTATGGAAGCCAGTGCTAGAGGGGAGACAGGCACAGGGGTGGCAGAGAGCAGCAGGTGGGGGGAGAGGAAAGCAGAAGCCAGAGAGCGGCCCCCAATGGAAAGAGAGGCCCGGAGCACCCAGAACACGGGGTCCATACTCCGGGAGTCTGGCCCCAAGCAGAGCATGGCCGGGAGGCCCAGGATGCTCTCCCACCCTCCCCAGAAACCTCCCCTCCCCAAACCCCAAAGGAAAAGCAGGTGTGTACCTACCCCAGGTGCCAGCCCCTCGGGTCGAGTGGGAGAGATGCCATCCCCGCCACCCTGGCTGCGGGCGCTGAGCTGGGGTGACATGGTGGGCGACTCGTCGATGTACGGCATGGTCTCCGAGCCCTCGGGGGGCCCCTTCTGCTCCTCATGCCCCTCTGCGTCGTAGTCGTCGGCCCCGTAGCTGAAGTCTGAGACAAGGAACAGGAAAGGCCACTGAGAGTCCTCCACGAGGGCTGCCAGGGACTGGTAGCGCAGTGGGCGCCAGCGGCGGCCCCCGGCTGCCATGGCCCCGGGCGCACCATGCACACCTGGCCGGGGCAGGGGCTGCGCGGGGGCCCGGGCCTGGGGAGGGGGAAGCGCCAGCAGGCACCAGGCTCTGCTCGGTCACAGGCTGCTGGGAGTCGGGGAGGAGCGGCTCTGCTGTCGCCACCCGCTTAATAGCATGTCAGCCGCGTATTTGGAGCTGTTGTTGCCTTTGCCTCCTGCCTAATTCCACGTCTAAAAATCAACAGTGGGAGCAGGAGGCAGGACGCTTCCAACTCTCCTCTCTGAGTCACCATTTTGCTTTTTATAGGGACTAAGGAGTGGGGGCGGGCCGAGCGATGTCACTTCCTCAGCCCCTCCTCCTTAGGTACCATTTGTACACTGAGTCCCATCCCTCCAGGGGGGCCAGGGAGGCTTGGGAGGAGGGCTGGAGCAAGTGTGCTCAAGGGGGACCTCACCCCTCCAACCCAGGCCCTGGGCGCAGGACAGAGCCCAAGGCAGGCAGACGTGGGCGAGAGGGCTGTGCCCAGTCCTGGCAGGGACACGGTGAGCAGCAGACTCCTCAAAAGCCGGCACTTATGTCTATAATTCCAATGTAGGCTTCCTTCAGAGGAGGAGGGAAGGGAACACAACAGGAAGCCGAGCCGCGTTAACCCCCTCAGTGCTGCCAGCCCCAGAGCCCACGCACACATGGGGACCCAGGGTTAGGCCATCAGGGGATAGGGCAGCCCCTCAGGGATTGCACTGAAAGGGCTACCGCAGCAGCCTCAGAGAGGCCCCTGCATCACACCCCTCTAGGGGGGTCTCTCCTGCAGCAGGTGAGGGCCTCCGACTCCCCCAACCACCACCCCTCAGCCTGTTTGCATCCCATCAGCCCAGAATGGAGGGGCCTGGACAAGGCCAGGCAGTGCTGCCTTCAGCTGGCTGGTGTTGGGTCTCCTCAGGCTG